CAGTTTTACATGAGTGGTTTTTGTTGACTTCCTCCTCTGTTTGTTTTAAGTGCTGGGCTTTGGGGCTTGTGATCCTGTGATCTAGAAATCAAATATTGACAAGTAGCCCTCGGAGGCAGGGCAGAAAACAAGGTCCAGGTTTAGATGCCAGCCCCACGTAGGGAGGCTGCAGCTGAAATTCCAGTCCCATGCTGCATCCAGGCAGTTGCTGGGACACCCCAGAGGCAGCAGGCAACAGCGTTCCAGGTCCCCTCGGGATAGAGAGAACACAGGAGCCAATTCACAGCTTGGATGTGGTTGCTAAAACCCGCTTTCCTTTTTCGCTTTGGAGAGATTTTGCAGATGAGTTTCAACATTCATCTCTAGATTCTGAAAAATTCCAACTCTAACACAGATACTTTTCTTTAATCTACTCTCTCCCTTAAGTGACCCGACCATAGACCATGGTTTTCAATGCCGTCTGTGGACTGATGACTCCTAAAGGTATGTCCCCAGGTCCCACAACTCCCCTGAGTGCCAGGGCTGGATGAATAACCATGGATTCACATTTCCACTTGGCCATCTCAAACTCTGCAAGGCCAAAACTGAACTTCTGAGCTCTGCCCGCTTCTCCTGATTTTCTTCCTTCTTCCTGACTATTCACGGCCATCCTCCCAGTCGCTCAAAGCCAAAAATCTGAGACCCATAATTGATTTCTCCCTTCCTAATACCACTAAAAATGGTCTCTACTCCGCAAATACATCCCCAATTCACCCCATTCTCACCATCTCACTGACAGAACCAGAATGCAAGGCACCTTCTCTGTCACCTAGATTATTTTGCAAAACTTCCCTCCCTCCCTCCCTCTCCCTCAATAGTTTGTTTTTACATTTTGTTTAATATTTTTAAAAGAAAAACCTTTTTATTACGGAAGTTTTCAAAAATATACAAACTAGAATAATATATCTTAATATACTCAGCATCCAGCCTTAAAATTATCAGCATTTTGCCTATGTGGTTTTTATCTACTTTCCCACATACATAGGTAATTTCCTTTGTTTTGGAATATTTTAAAGCAAATCCCTTATATCATGTCATTTTTACCTGTAAACACAGCAGTATGCATCTGCAGTTGGTTTGCTCCTGTGGGTTTCCACCCTCTGGAATAGATGGAATTTTTAGGAAGCATAACCACGGTATCGTTACCATGCCTAACAAAGTTAATAATAAACCCTTCATACCATACATATGTCTTAATAACATATTTTTACAATGCTTTTGTTGGAATCAGTGTCCAAATAAATTCTGCATCTTACATTTGGCTAATATGTTGTCTCTTTTTTTTTCTTTATATTTTTTTCTTTTATTATTTTTGTCTTCTCTTTTTTGTGTAAATTAATGGCAGAAAATGTTAAATCTCTTTTATAGCTGTCCCTCCCCTCTTTTTATGCCATTGATTTTGGGGGCACCTGGTCATTTGCCCTGTGGAGTCTTCCATATTCTGAATTGATTGACGACATCCTCATGGTGTCATTTAAATTGTTTCACTGTCCCCTGCTATTTCAACTAGGAGCTAAGCTAGTTCTACAGGCTTAATGAGATTTAGGTTCCATTTTTATAGCAGGAATACTACATAGGTGGTGCAGAAAACTTCCTATCACATTCCACCAGCAAGAACATCATGTCTGTAGTCCCAGTTTTAGTGAAGCTATAGTTGATCTGTGGGCTCAAATGTCTTTCTCACTTTTAAGTAGTCTATATTTCAGAATCCTTTCTAGTTAAATTAACAAAATGGTGCTGTAATTTTAAAGATCCTGTGGAAATTTTTTTTGGTAATCAGAGCCCAGAATCAGAAGATCACCCTTTTGCAGCCCCTAATGAAAGAATGCATGTGGGCACTGATCTTCAATAGCTGCTGACATCACACTCATACATACAAACAGTAATAGATATTAGGTGTCTCCTGATAAAAATATACAACAGCATCTATGACTTATTCTTGCCAAAATGGAACTTGACTATGATCAATCCTCCAGATATAAATACTGAATTACAGGAAATATAAGTGATAGAAGAACATGTTAAATGACACCATGAGGATGCAGTCAGAAAAATTTAGAGTGCAGAAACTCCACAGGAAAAATGACCCAGTGTCTTTAACAAATAAATACAAGATATTTTTTTAAAAGATGATTATGGGGTGGGGGAAAAAACTATAAATGGAAAGAGACTTAAAAGACATATGAGCCAACTGTAATGCATAATCCTTATTTGGATTCTAATTTGAAAAAAAGCTAAAATTATGGAGAAATTGGGGAAACTTGAACACTGCCAATATTTGATGATATTAAGAAATCATCGCTAATTTTTCGATGCAATAATGCTATTTTGGTTTTGTGTATATATATATTTTATAGAGTGCTCATCTTTTAGAGATGTAAATATTTACAGATGAAATTAATATCTTGGATTTGCTTTAAAATAACAGGAGAAGAGGGAAGTTGGCAGGGTAATAAATGAAAGGTGATTTGACCAAAATGTTGATAATTGTGAAAGCTGGTTTGTGGGTACATTTGAGTTCATACCTGTATACCCCTTTCCATACTTTTGACAATTTCCAAAATGAAAAGTTAACAACAGACCACTAAGAGCCAACCATTTCGTACAAGATAATGTCTTTAGTTCTCAAGGCTCACAATCCTTTGACAATTCTTAATTCCAACCTTATCTGCTACTGCTTGGCACATGCTTTTTGTTCTAGCCAAATTGGGAGACTATTTTTTATCTTCCAATGTGAGATGCAGACTCCAGACTTTGAGTACATGCGTTGTACTATCCTGGGCCGGAATCAAGCCTTCTATCATCACTCAAAGTATGTCACACACACTTTAGCCTAAGTCTCATTTTTTCTCATGCTCCTCACCTTATAAAATCTTCCCTTCTCTGTTCATCAATAACGTGTGTGTGTATCTCACTTTCAGCACTGATATTGTCAGTTACCTTTCTATGTGCACGTGACTTTCCTGCCTTTCTAGGTTATAAGTTCCTGAGAACAAGAACCTTGTGTTGTACTTTTTGGTACACATAGCACTACGGTCCATTGTATATATGGTTTAATTAAGTAGTAGTAATCAATTAAATGCTAGTGGTAGAGCTTTGCAAACCTGGGAGGAAAAAGATGATGATATCTGAAAGTAAAGTTAGAAAAAAGAAAGCTAGAAATGAGGCAGTCTGCCTAGAGGAGAAAAAAATGATCTGGTGACAGCTTTGGGCTTAGTGGGAAGATTTTGTCTTCTGACTTATCAGAGGATATTAGCAGATTTCCCCTGGACTCCAAATAAAGTGTTGTTTTGTGCACACACAAGGGACTTTTATTTCCTGCTTACGGCATGACACTTCTGCAGGGACCAATGTTCAGCTGCCAAAGCACACCATCTGGCTGAAATACCCTGAACCACTCATTAAGTGGCTATTACTCAGTTCTCTTTATTAATCCTAATTTCTTTTTTAAATGCATTTCAAATAGCCAAAGGACAAAAAAAAAAAAAAAAAAAGATTATTTGAGAAATAAAGAGCCTATCTCTTCTATTTACATAACTGGCTAGAATATTGTCCCTTTATTCCTCAATCCATATGAGTTTTTTCCAAGTGTGATAAAGTATATAGAGCATAAAATTTAACATTTTAACCATTTTTAAGTGCACAGTTCAGTGATATTAAGTACATTCACACTGTGCAATCATCACTACCATCCATCTGGAGAACTTTTTCATCTTCCCCAACTAAAACTGTGCCCATTAAAAAATAACCTCCCAACCCCCCTGTCCCCTTAGCAACCGCCATTCTACTTTCTGTCTCTATGAATTTGACTACTCTGGGCACCTCATATAAGTGGAGCCATACAGTATTTAACTTCTTTTGACTGGCTTATTTCACTAAGCATGTCTCCAAGGTTCATCCATGTTGTAGCATGTGACAGGATTTCCTTGTATGTACTACATTTGGGTTATCCATTCATCCTTCAGTGGACGTTTGGGTTGTTTCCACCTTTTGGCTATTGTGAATAATGCTGCTGTGAACACTGGTGTACACATATCTGTCCAAGTCCCTTCTTTCAATTCTTTGGGGTATGTACCCAGCCAGTCCATGCTTGGAAGCCATTATCTGCCGTGTACATCTTAGGCATCTCCTTTCTTTCTCCACCTTATTTTTTTCAGTAATTATAGAAGATCTACCCTCAATTTCTATCTTTTGGTAAGCCCCAGGTAAAAGCAATAGTCTCTAAGTGTCAGAGGGTTTTAAGAGGAGATGTGGAAGGAGGGCCAGGGGTGTGGACAGGCACTCAGTCATGACTCAGTCCTTCCCGCTACACCTACACCTACACCCAGCACAGGCTGGGCCTCCAGGCTTAAGGATTGGGAATGACTGTTCAGTAAACAGCAGTCAGACAGGATGAAAACGGAGCCCAAGCAACTGAGCTTTCCCCTTAGAAAGGATTGAGTGTGGCTGTGATTCACAGGAGCAGTTGGAAGCTGCCACACTGCCACACTGCAATCTTGCCTGGCTTTGATGAGTCAGTTATTGGGCATAAGTTCACCTGTGTTTAGAGAAGGGATCCTGAAATACATGGTTACTCGTCAGGGCTACTATGAGGAAAAATTAAATATTAAAGTAGATTCAGCCTTTGAAAACAAAAGGATTCATATAATTCCTAAGCATCTGTGTGTACCCTCCATTCTATTTGGTGTATGTTTTCATAGAAGTCAGAGGAAGAGAAATTCCCAGCCTTGTTAAGAAGGAATTTATTTGAGTTCTCTTTTGCTCTTAATCTAGTATTATTAGAAAACATGAATGAGCTGGTAATAACCTTTTATAAAAGGTGGGTCAAAGCCTCAAGATGACCTCACATGATTTCTAGAGTCCAATAACATTTAATTAAAGCCTACAGAATATTTTGGAGGAATTTTCTTTTCCACAATGTCCAGTAAGACAGTAAAACGGCTGATTTTTCTTTTTTTTAGCCTAGATTTGGCCTGATGCTTGAATCCATCACTGACTATCAATTTCTCAATTCAGAAGGTAGAGAATAAAAGCACTTGAAAATATGAGTGAATTTCTGCAAAGGAGGCAGTGCTGCAGATCTAACTACCTTGACATGCGAAAGGAATATACGACAACAAAAAGCATTCTAAGTTGTAAACAACCAGCCCCTTCTGTGAAGAATATTGGTAGGAAATCCAGGCACCGTCTCTTGGATTGCCCTGGTGGCCGCCACGAAGGGGTCTGGCCAGTAGCAACATCTGCTGGGTCCCTGCTCTGTTTGGAGCGTGGCCAGATTCTACCAGAGGTAAAAAGAAGTTTTTGATCTCTATTTATTCCAAGAAACATTATCTCAGGGGGTTGGCAGAGGAACCAGAGAGTCTTACAAGAGAATCATTTCAGCAATACAATTATTTCCTAGGTATTTACAACTGTGGGTTTTTGGATTTTTTTTTCTTTTCCCATTTTTGGAGTTGGGATCAAGCCTTCATGAATGAGCCATTAAAAGAACCTAAAAGGGAATTGAGCCCTGTTATTGAGTCTCCATTCAAAAAAGCTTTTTTTTTTTCTTTTTCTTTTTGGTATTATTGTGCAAAGCTACTCTTGGGAAATGTATATTAAATGCGGAAATCAGGAATTGATGTTATTGACACACGTTTGAAAGATAAATATGATTTTTAAGCTGGTGAATGGAAAGAGAGCACAGGAGGCCAGCAATGAGATCACTGTTATCCTTTCCACTCTGGAGGTCACCTTCAGGGGAAACAAAACCCACACCAGTCCAAACACATCACATGTGCACACCTGGTGGGGAATTTGGAACCTGAGCCTGCTTTTATGGAACATAAAAATGAAAATTTCAGGGAAAAGTTATGCCTCATTTGGCAATTATTTTCAGAGAGAAGCCTAGTGTTTACCCCTTTCTTTAAATAAACTTCATTTGCTTTTAGCAAGCACTAGGAATACTTGAAAAGCCTATATCTTAACTCTAGCATAATAGTTTTGTTCGTTTACCTTTTTTAAATGTAAGCTGTAGTAACAAGAAGAATTCCCATATATCTTTCATTCTGTTTCCCTAAATATTAACCTTTTTGGAAAAAATTTGCTTTATCTTTCTCTATCTCTTGCTTTTTTTCCCTGACTGATTTGAAAGTAAGTATAGTCGGGATGCTTCTTATCCCAGATACTTAGCATGCATTTCCTATAAGTGAGGACATGACCACAGAACAACGATCGAAATAAGGAAATTAGCTTCAAGGCAATACTATTTTAATCTACAGACTTTATTCAGATTTGGCCAATTATCTACTTAATTTACAGCAAATGTCTGAATCATGTGTTGCATTCAGTTGTCCTATTTTTTGAGTCTCCTTTAATCTGGAACAACTCTTCAATCTGTCTTTCACAATACGGACAAATTTGAAGACTATATGACAGAGAAAGTCCCTCCATTTGGGTTTATCAGGTGTTCCATCCAAGTTATGCACTTTTGGCAGAGATTTCACAGAAGTAATGTGTTCTTTTCAGTGCATCATATCAGAAGGCATATTATTTTTAATAGAAAAAAATATATCTTAGCATACTCTTCTCAGTGAAAAAGAAAATATGAAAGTTCTAAATCATCATCAGATTCTTCATGTTGTAGTCCATTTGGGCTATTTTTTTTTTTTTTTTTTTGAGGCAGAGTCTCACTTTGTTCCCCAGGCTAGAGTGAGTACCGTGGCGTCAGCCTGCCTCACAGCAACCTCAATCTCCTGGGCTCAGCTGTCCTACTGCCTCAGCCTCCCGAGTAGCTGGGACTACAGACATGCACCACCATGCCCGGCTAATTTTTTTGTATATATATATTTTTAGTTGGTCAATTAATTTCTTTCTATTTTTGGTAGAGACGGGGTCTTGCTCAGGCTGGTTTCGAACTCCTGACCTTGAGCAATCCGCCTGACTCGGCCTCCCAAAGTGCTAGGATTACAGGCGTGAGCCACCTCGCCCGGCCCCATTTGGGCTATTATAACAAAGTACCATAGACTGGGTGGCTTAGAATCAGCAGAAATGTATTTCTCATAGTTTTGGAGGCTAGGAGGTCCAAGATCAAGGCACTGGGAAATTCGGTGTCTGGTGAGGGCCATTTCCTGGTTCATAGACGTCTGTCTTTTTGCCATGTCCTCACACCGTGGAAGGGGAAAGGCAGCTCTCTGAAGCCTCTTTTGTAGGAGCACTAATGCCAGTCATGAAGGCTCCCTCATGACCTAATCACCCCCCACAGACCCTATTTCCTAATACCATCACCCTGGGGAGTAAGATTTCAACATATGAATTTTGTGTTGACACAAACATTCAATCCATAGTATGTAATAACTGTAATACAATTCTGTATTTACTTACCACTTTCTAGTAGCAGGAAAAGTTAGGGAGCATATCTTATTCATGTTTACAACTTGGCACCCAATAAAGTGCATGGCATTTAATTGGCACTCAGTAAGACGTACTGAATGAATTTGAGAGTACTCTCACTTCACCTGCACAATTCATCTTTACTGGTTTCTGCTCTGTCTTCTCAATCTTGGCTTCGTCCTCAGCAGAGACAAGTCAGGGACAGGCAACCGATTTGGACACAGCTTCCTCTTCAGATGTGACACCTGGCTGCACTCATGAGCTGGGTAAAAACTCTCACCATGAGGATCAAGCCACTCCAGGGCTTGATGAATGTTTGATTATTGAATAAATAAATGAATAAAATAGAATATGTCAAGTAGTTCTTCCAATTCTGCTTAACACTGGAGTTTTATCAAGCAGATGAAAGAGCTAGATCACTAACAATCAAAACCAATTATTTTTGCAATTTACAGAAAATGCTAGAATATCATTAGTTTTAAGTTTCTCCATAACTTTGTGTTAACACTTAGGCTCTTGCCATAGCCTATTTGTCAGTGGTTGCTGGTAGATGACAAAATAAGTAAACATGTCAGCAAAGGAATATTTAATCATAAAGAGATGATCATGACTGTTTACCAGTTCTTTTATTCCTTCATGGGTCATTTGTGGTTATGATGCAAATAAATGGTATTATAGTGAACACTGGTCATTTATTTTCTGTGTTGATCTAAACCACCTTCCTATGTTAGTTTTCTCTTAATTTTAACATTATAAGTCATTGTCATCGCTGTATTATGCAGTCAGTATTCATTTGATTTTCCCACATATAAGCATCATTATACACATTACCACTCAAATCTCAGAACTTCCATCTGGGATTACTTTAGTTCTTTCTGAATATAATTCTTTAATGAGCAACTGTGTTGGAGGCAAATTCAACTTTTATTTGTCTGAAAATATCTTTATTTTGCCCTTCATCTTGAAAGAACTGCAAGCTTCATCTTCAGTGACAGCTGACAGTTAGTTTGGGAGTGCATTGAGTTTATCCTTCCCCTGCCTCTGGCCTTTAGTGCTGCAATTAAGATACTCTCAATCTAATCATCTTTTTTGGGAGACTCTTTATTAAGGCTTGTTTTAATGTCTTCCCTTTGTAATTGGTGGTCTGAAGTTTTATTATAATGTGTCTAGGTCTGGGTTTCTATTTATTTATTCTGCTTGCAATTTGTTAGGCTTCCTAATCAATTCCCAACTATTATATCTTTGAATAATGCCTCTTCCCCCTTCTCTTTATTCTCTTCTACTGGAAATCCAAATGCAAGTGTATTTGATTTCATCCTATCCTTTATATATCTTAACCTCATTTTTGCATTAAAAAAGTATATCTCTGTCTCTCTGAGCTGCATTCTAGATAATTTCTTCAAATGTATCTTCCGTTTTATTTTTTCCTCTTCTGAGATGTCTAATCTGGTGTTAAGCCTCTCCATTAGGCTTGTTTTAAATTTCAATTATTATGCATTTTATTTATTTTTCAAATAAGCTTAGTCAACTTATAGTCTGTTATTCCTTGCTCACATTTTTTTGTGCCCAGTATTCAGAAAGGTATAAAAGGAAGTCTGTGCCCTGAAAAATCTCACAGTATAGGAGGGAAAATAGGCAGGTAGAAAACTAAATTACAGTATCATGAGGGAAAATGAAATGAGAACACAGAACATACAAATGTAGCCAACTCAGCAAAGGCTTCCCAGACAAATTCTAAGTGAAATCACCAGTTAATCCATATTCCTCTTACGCAATAGCAATCATGTGATATCAGCTATTCCACACCCTAGATTTCTACGAGGATAAAACAAAGTCAACTCTACGCTATATGAGAGAATAAATGCTGATTGACTTTTTGAAAATCAATCCACCTGTGATAATCCTGGAATCTAGCAGTCTCTTATATGAAGTCCTACGTTCATTTCAATGCTAGATATCATCCATTTGCCTTCAGTTCATTCTCTACCTGTGAGGTGAATCATGGGGGTTTCCTTTTTATCTCTGCTTTATGTTGGGTAGGTAGGAGGCGAGAGAGGTTGGGGCTTGCTTCCTCCTGCTTAGCGGTGGTTCCACAGTGGCTGCATTGGTCCATGAGGGTGGGACTGCTAGATCGGCCCTCTCCACGGCTCTCTGCCAGCCAGGCACCAGGCTCCAGGTGGTATGTGCTTCCCTAAGTGCCTCCGCATTTTCTGCTGTTCCCTTAATCCTGTCTATTCTTTTCAAAATCATGTCTTCACTTGAAACTCTCTTTAAAAATTCCAGCCGAGCATGCCTTTTATTTTCCATCAGGCCCCTACCAAAGACAGTTTCCCAAACCATGCTGTTCTCAGAGAGCATGAGTACAACAGAAAAGAAGTAACAACATTCACGGTAACTTATCAGATCTTGCAGCTAAAAGGAATTCGAAGGGAAAGAAATCCAAAATGATAATTGTGTATTACATCTTGGATATCAAGTTTTGAATAGATAATGAGACATTCTGGTTCCACTCAAACTGGCCTGACACCAACAGTGTATGCGACAATTCAATTCTGACACTATCTGGAGTTGGTGCAGATGCCACAGATTAAAGGCAAAGTTCACCGCAGACTGCACACCTCCCACTTCAACCACCAGCCACAAGTCTCAAAGGGTCCCCAAGGCACTTGCACTTCTGACTGCCTGGCTATGAATTCAAGGGTTCCCATGGCTGCCTCAGTTTGATAATTCACTGAAACAATGAGCAGAACTCAGGAAAGCACTATACTTACAACTGCAGTTTTATTGTAAAGCATATACATACAGGAGGGTCCCAGATGCACAGCTTCAGCACCCTCTCCTCATGGAATCAGGCACCTCACTCTCCTGGCACGTCAATTATGTTCACCAACCAGGAAGCTCTGGGAGCCTCAGAGTCCCGAGTTTTTACTGGGGTTTCATTATGTGGGCATGATTAAACCATTGACCATGTGACTGATCTCAACATCCAGTCCCCCTCCCCTCTTCCTCAAAGGTCACGTGGCTCAAAGTCCCCAACCCTCTAATTACCTGGCTGGTCTTTCTGGTGACCAGCTCCCATCTTGAGGCTGCCTAGGGGCCCACCATTGCCTCATTAGCACAACAAAGTCCTACCACTCAGGAAACTCCAAGGGTTTTCAGAGGCTCAATGCCAGGAACCCAGAACAAAGAGCAGACAAATTCTTTATTATATAATAGCCATCATGAGATTCCTTAATGAACTTGTAGCTTTTTTCAGGAGCACTTGATTTTCAATCCTCATATTATTAGTGGTGGGAACTTAGGACACAAATCAACATACAATTTAACTTTGGACATTATTTGCAATTAGGGTTTCCCAAATTAAGGATGTGACAAATTATGACAGATGCTGTCATTAAACCTATGAACTGATATCTACATACTTAACTCACTTTCCAAAAAAGATTCACAATTACAAATAAGACTTCTTTTCAAAATATTCCATTATGGGCCGGGCGCGGTGGCTCACGCCTGTAATCCTAGCACTCTGGGAGGCCGAGGCGGGCGGATTGCTCAAGGTCAGGAGTTCAAAATATTCCATTATGATAAGAAAGTATAATTTGTTCAATTCATAGAAAATAGTCTACATGGAGGCAACAGTATTGGGCTGAGAATCTGTAGAGGTAGGTCCAAGTCCTAGCTCTGCCACCAGGTGATGCATCCTCTGGGCTGAATGAGATGGTATCTACAATCCTGTGACTGCCACGGTCAATTTCCAGATCACACAGCAGTGACAGTATGTTTAATCATCAAAAACTAGTGCTCTTAGAATATTTTCAATATTTATATTTTAAGTTTTTAATCTTGGCAACTTTCTATACTTATATAATAACATCTTTCAATATTACTTCCACAAAGTCTTCTCTGATCCTTGTTTTATATTCTTTTATGAGGTGGTCAGCAGGTGTGGCCACAAGAGGAGACAGAGGAAAGGCTCAGGAGAACAAAGTTATACTCACAGGTCCCAGAGAGGGGAGGCATGCCAGGCTACACAGAGCCACATGGGAAAGACAGGAGCCAGGGGAAAGTTTGGGCTGAGGCCTTTTTTGTGGTTTCCACAGGAAAGGCAGGGCAGGTGGACAGTTTAGGACTGGCTAGTATGAATAATTCTGGCAGGTTCTTACCTGTATGGGTGGTTCTGAGATGCCTGGTACTACCTGGTCTTGGGATGATTAAGGCAGAGGAACTGTCTCCTAGGGTTTGCAGGCCAGATGGAGGAGGGTTGGCTCTGGGTTAGCTGGTTTGCCTATCAAAGGCATGCTCCATGGCAGTCTCCCTCAGCTAGAAAGGTGTTCTTATTTTTTAACATGGCAAAACACATAAAATAATATATATGTATATTACATATGTTTGTGTATATATATCCATATATACATATATACACACATATACATATACATAATACATGCAATCCTCTAGCTGGAATTTATCTTTCTTATCTCCTAAACCTTAGTATCGCTTTGTCTGTATAACCCACATGGATTTTTCCCTTTTTCTTGCACGCAGCTACGTGTGGGTACCTTCTATTTTACTTCTACCTGGAAGCTCCTTGAGGGCAGAGCTGGAGACCCTTAGATTATTGTTTTCTCTAGAAGGGAAAGCATATTGGTGTTCCTCCTGTATGAGCTCTAGGACTACTCTTTAATGAAGAAATAAATACTTAGCAGAGTACATTACATACATATTTACAAAACCATATTCATATACATATTTTCATATTTACATTCAAATTAGTATAGAATATCAAGATTCAAAGATAAACTCTCAATTTAGTAAATTCTTATAAGTTAATTTTTATATTAAGGTGGAGATTTATCATTTTTCAAGCTTATGGAAATAAGGGCCAAGAAAATGAAAAAAAATGTATATTTTTTAAACTTTAGGTCAAGAACATTTGCACTTGCTGGCTGCTGGCTCTTCAGAATTTTTTTACCCATTTAGTAGTATGTCCCGGCCCGTGGGACCTTCTGTAACTCGCGGGGGTCGAGGGGGACCGTGCCTGAAAGAGATGGGCGAGAGAAAGGAACGAGACCAAGCAAAGGGTTGTCAAGGTCTACTTTACTTGGATTTTTAGTAGGTTTTATATACAGAAACAAGGAAATAGAAACTGAAAAATAGAGTGGGGGGATGATGAGGCTTGTGTGTGGGCCAATCAGCCCCAATCAGCATCCCAATGGCACCGGAAGCTGTTTGTGATGGATCACTCAACCCCAACCTGGCAGGGGGTTGGGAACAATTGCAGGTAGCATGCCCTGGAGCAAGCATGGCATGGAATGCATTCTTCTCGGAACTATAGCTGGGGGGCTGGGTGCTATTTTCATCTTAGGCTATTTTCCGCCTGTGTAGGACAAGTTGTTGGGATGTGGAGGGTCTTAGTCTCCAACAGTAGTATTTTATTTACTATTCAGACCCTCCACATATTTGCCATCCTGCTGGCCTAGAACATGAACCTCCTCAAAAGGAAAAGGAAAATAATGACTTAAATACTTAAATAAATAAATAAACACTCAAATACTTTTTGTAAGGTTAAAAGTATCTACTGTATAAAAGTAGATTAAAGGCCGGGCGCTGTGGCTCACGCCTGTAATCCTAGCTCTTGGGAGGCCGAGGCGGGCGGATTGCTCAAGGTCAGGAGTTCAAAACCAGCCTGAGCAAGAGCGAGACCCCGTCTCTACTATAAACAGAAAGAAATTAATTGGCCAACTGATATATATATAAAAAAAAAAAATTAGCCGGGCATAGTGGCGCATGCCTGTAGTCCCAGCTACTCGGGAGATCACTCGAGCCCAGGAGTTTGAGGTTGCTGTGAGCTAGGCTGACGCCACGGCACTCACTCTAGCCTGGACAACAAAGTAAGACTCTGTCTCAAAAAAAAAAAAAAAAGTAGATTAAATGGGTTACCCAATATGTAGTATGTTCTCATATTGGTAAAATGTCTTGAAATGTGGATAGGTTGAAAAAGATATAAACCAAGCAGACAGCTTTGGTGAAAAGAGGATGAGTTTAGCATGAAAATGTACCCACATGGGAAAGTATGAATGCGAATATAAATGAGGATGTAAGTGATGGAGGCTTAAATTAGTATAAACTGAATGTGGCCATGCTGAGAATAATGGGAAATATCTTTTTTAGTGGTTAGGGATTCCCTGTCGTCATTTAGGAGCCTGAAGCATCTTTGCAGTGTTGGAGAGGTGGCTGCAGCCTCAGGTTTCAGGATGCTTCCAGAACACCGCCACAGAAGTGGGCCATCGGAACTACCACCTCAGTCACAATCTGGAAGATGCAAAATCAAGAAGTCACTGCTCCGGGTCTACCAAAGTTAAATGTATGCATGCTCTCCAGCCCAGAAATATTGTACATATGTTCACTAAAAGCCTTTCATTGGCATGTTCATAGCAGTACTACTCAGAATAGCCCCCCAAATGACCATCAACAGTGGAAGGGATACACAAATTGTTATAGTCACATAACTATATGGCAATGAGAATAAATAATCTACGACAATAAGCAACAATATGGATGAATTTCACACTGTTAAACAAAAAAGTCAGACGCAAGGAGTACGTTCATTATAATTCCATTTATATGGGCATAAAGACAAAGTCAAAACTCACCTATGGTGTTAGAGGTCAGGAGAGTGTCACCCTTATGAAGAGCACCGTGACTGGCGGAGGCGCCAGAGGGGTTCCGGGGAGCCGGCAGTGTTCTGTGTCTTGCTCTGGGTGCTGGTGACACAGGTGTGTTCAGTTTATGAAAAGTCATTACATATGCAGAATGTGTGTGCTTCCTTGTAGGTGTTTTATATTCTTCCATAGAAAAAAATTTTTTTTAAGTCAAAACTACTCCCAAACTACTGCCTCCACTAAGGGTCTGGGCATGCACTGCACGGCCGCAGCCCACACAGCAGCGGCGACACCGGCGCTGCTCTGGCACACCTGCACCAGGCCCGCCCAGGAAAGGCTGAGAGGCCGGCGCTGGCAGCCAGCAGGTGACTTCGACCTTCTTAATCTGCAAGGCAGGGGCGTGGCAGAAGCCAGCTACTCAAAATCCTCAGACAGGAGGGTCTGTGCCAGTAGTTGTCAGTCTGAGAAGCCCACCAGCTTTCAGAAGGAGGCGAAGGTGGCTGGGGGCTGGAATGGAGTTGAGGGGTCACTCTGCACGCACCCTCACCTTCCCCGGATGGGCTGATGTTCCTCGTGTCGTCTACCGTGTTTCCCCGAAAATAAGACAGGGTCTTATATTTATTTTTCCTCAAGAAGACACCCTAGGTCTTATTTTCAGGGGATGTGTTATTTTCCCCTCAAAGCCTCAGCTTGCAGCACGCACAGGATGGCCGGGACCTGACAGGGGGAGACAACCTTGTTGGTGGGGCTGCCCGCACCTTTCCAGTCCCTCTGGGATAGTAGCTGTCACGATGGGGCAGATGAGAAGGGCTGCTCGTCTTCACAGCTCCACAGTACGAAATGCATGGGTTGTGCAGATACACTGTGTAGCCACGTATCTTATTTTTGGAGTAGGGCTTATTTTGCGCAAATGCTTAGAAATCCTGCTAGGGCTTATTTTATGGGTAGGTCTTATTTTCCGGGAAACACGGTATTTAGTCTGTTAGCAACTGAAAGCCAGCCTTCTCAGGCTAGCTTTTTAATTCTTTTTTCCCCTTGTGTCATATGTTATAAGCATATAGAAAAATATACTAAACAAATGTATACCCATGACTCAGTTTTATCATATTTAAACATCTTGCTATGTTTGAGTCTAACTTTTTTCTTAAAGAAACAAAACACTCTACATGCAGTTCAGTTTCTCCATGTCATTCCCCTTCTTTCAGAGGTAAACTGCATCTTTAATTTGGTGTATGCTGTCTCTGTGCCTTTTGAATATATGCTTGTATCCCCAAATAAAACAGAATATTGTTTTATTCCTAAATTTTAAATAAAGTGTATCATAGTCTACACTTCAGTCCGCAATTTGCTTTTTACCCCCACATTATGATTTTGAATGTAATCCATGCAGCATATATATCTCTATTTCACTTATTTTTAACTGCTTTGTAGCATGTCATTGTGTGATAGTATCATGATTTATTAATCTGTTCTTCTGTTGGAAATGTGGGTTGTTCCCTTTTCTGTTGTTACGAGAAACAACGCTGCAACAAACACATGTACACACGTGCTTGAGATCTCGAGGCCAGGGCTCAAGAATTCCTCAGAGCTGGTTAAAATGTAGATTCTGATTCAGTAGGTCTGGGTGGGGACCTGAGATTCTGCACTTTTTTTTTTTTTTTTTTGAGACAGAATCTCACTTTGTCGCCCAGGCTAGAGTGAGTGCTGTGGCGTCAGCCTGGCTCACAGCAACCTCAAACTCCTGGGCTCAAGCGATCCAACTGCCTCAGCCTCCCGAGTAGCTGGAACTACAGGCTTGCACCACCATTCCCAACTAATTTTTTGTATATATATTTTTAGTTGGTTAATTTCTTTCTATTTTTAGTAGAGACGGGAGTCTCACTCTTGCTCAGGCTGGTTTCGAACTCCTGACCTCGAGCAATCCCCCCACCTCAGCCTCCCATAATGCTAGGATTACAGGCGTGAGCCACCACGCCCGGCCTGATTCTGTACTTCTAATAAGGTGATGTTCTTGGTCCCAAGACTACCTTTGAGCAGTATATGTAGTAAGAATTAGAATTGTTGAGATAAAAGGTGTGTGTGTCTTCAACTTTGTTTCCAAGTTACTTTTCCAAATTACTCTCCACAGTGGCACTGATTTGCACGCTTACTGCATATGAGAGTTCCATCTGCTCCATAGCTTCAGCAGCTCTTGGTATTATCAGACTTTAAAATTGTTTAGATGACTATATAGTTTTTCTTCATACCTGAATGTGATACATTGAATTCAACAGATTTTCAGATTTTGAACTAGCTTTCCATTGCTAGGGGGGAAGAACTCACTAGAATTTGCTAAATTTGATATGTTATTATTAAAGATTTTTATATCAATGTTAATAAGTGAGATTTATCCATACTTTTTTGTACTCTACCAGTTTGATTTTGATAGTACATTAGACTCATAAAATGTTTCTTTTTATTTTCTCTAAGACAGTATATGATAGGAAGCATCTGTGGGGTGCTTTGTTTTGAGAGGATACAGTGTTGGGGAGAAAGGGTAACTTTTAATAAAAATTCAACTTCTTTAATGATTATTTGCCATTTAAGGGTTTTCTATTTCTCTTTAAGTCATTTTTCTAAAACATTATCTATTTAATAATTAGTTTTAAAATTGTTAGTGTAAAGTTGCTGCATTGTTTTTGTATTATTTCTTGCCACTATCTTTTACGTTTACTGTGTTTTTTATTTCTAGTTTGAGTTGAGTGATTAACTTAGTTATTTTTGGTCTTTTTTAAGAATGAATTTCTCTAAGGCTATAAATTTGGCTTAAATACCACTTTAGATGCATCATAAAAATCTTGAAAATAGTACTTTCAATGGGATTCATTTCTAGGCCAACTGTGTTATCACTTCTCATGTAATCTTTTTTTAATCCTTTTTAGGAACACAATGTTAGGGTTCCATGGAAATTACTTTTTATAAAACTATTATTGTTGGTCTAATTTAATTGCACTATAGTAAGTGAAATTGTTTATGTTGATATTGATTCTTTGAAATTTGCTGAGACTTCTTTTGTGACCTATGTGCAATGTTTGGGGGATGATCAGACTTGAAGCTCTGACTCGAGGGGGGAGGGGGGCAATATATGTAATCTTAACATTTGTACCCCCATAATGTGCTAAAATAAAAATAAATAAATAAATAAATAAAAATGGTCAATTATATATAAAATTGTCTGTGCATAATAGAAAAGATAGATATTCACAATTTGTCAGGTGCAGGGTTTATTTAATATATTGATTAAGTAGTTTATTTAGTTTTCCATGTATACCTTGTATTCCATGTATACATCCTTTCTACTATTTGGAATGCATGATCTATCCGTTTCTGAAAGGCATATTATAATCTCTGTTCTAATTTTGGATTTATCAATTTCTTTTTGAAATATGGATGCTTTTAATTTTAGACAAGGACAGCTCTGAGTTCATAATCATTTTAGAAGAGGAAATAACACAATTTGGTGAGAGCAAAGGGAAAAGGAACTCTGACCCTGGACCTCTTTAATTTCATGAGTAGCATGTTTAGTACTTGCTGTTGTTTGTGTTCGCCAAATGTTGGAACCTTAATTCCTCAATGCGGCAGTTTTGGGAGATGGGGCCTAGTGGAAGGTGTTTGCGTCAGGGGGGCTCCATCCTCATGAATGGATGAATGTCATTCTCCAGATACTAGGTTAGTTCTCTCAGAATCAGGTTGTTATAAAGCAAGCCCAGGCCCTAGTGCGTGTTCCTTTTCACACATGCTCACTTGCCCTTCTGCTTTTCTGCCATTCTATGAAGCAGCACAAGGCTCTCCCCAGTTGCTGACCAGATGCAGCTGACTGATCTAGGACTTTCCAGCCTCCAGAACCATAATAAAGCTCTTTCCTTTATAAATCATGCAGCCTCAGGTAATCTGTTATAGTAACAGAAAATGGTCTAAGGCATTAAATTTATAGTATTTTTAATCATCCACATGATACATCATTTGAATCTCAAAACAACTATGTGATAGGCCAGATATATCACCTCCAATTTATAGATGAATTACTAAAACTCATAAATACCTTGCCTAAGTTTAGATTGCACATAATTGGCAGATGAATTTTCCAGTGATCAAGAAATAGTGATCACTTTCAAGGAGAAAACAAAGAATCTATGTTTTGCATGAGTCAATTAAATATTTTGATATTCTATAATCAGCATTGATGGGGGTCAAATCAATGTGAATTGATGAAAAATCTGAATTATAAGATGTTACAAGTGCAATTCATTTCTATGAGGTAAACTCAAAGTAGGCTGACAAAGTTTTGCTTCTACAAAGCCCTCACCATTAATGAACACTAGGAGTGACTGGCAGCTAGGTTTCTGGGGCACGAGAGTAGGCATCTAAATCACAGAATTTACTATTTAAAATGACACGAAAGCTTATCCTGTTCCAACTTCCCATTCAATTCAGAAATTCTCTCTTCAGAATGCTACCTGAATGTTAGCCTCTGCTGACATTTCAACAAAAGGCATGTGTTTGTGGTTTAAAGTCCTCAAAAATAAAGCCCTTTCCTAGCAAGGTTTCCCTGAAAATACTCCTTCATTCTGCTCATTTGCTCACCAAAATATCTGTTCGTAGTTAGCTAAGAGTTTAATTTCAGTGTTGCCCAAATCTGAATTAATAGAGTTTCTGTGTATAAACCAGAGACAGTGTGAGATGTGTGGAAGGAGACACACACACTGAGAGAATCTGCAGCTATCAGCATAAGATTCTCACACTTCCAGACTATACTCATTATTTCCCCACGAAGAAAGAAAAAGAGGAGCAGACCTCAAATAACATTTCCCAGACAACTCACAGATGGCATCAAATGGAAGCCTGAAGGAAC